ACAAAACCTAAGTCATGGAGTTGTGATTTTTAAATAATATAACTGTTATAAATCATCTAACACAATATATTACATAGTAAGAAATCAATAAATGGTAGCTATAATAATTACAGGAACTGTAACTACCGGTGCTACTATGCCTTCTTGTCAGGCCTTGTGAAAGATGTTGCACATCTTCGATCATTACTGTTTCCCTGTTTGATTATCTTCATGCTGCCGACAGGTACCGGAGAGGATACCAAGTCCTACTTAAGTCTAAGCTGCAAAGTCAGGATTTAAACCTTCCTCTGCTTGACTCCAAGGCCTGGGACTTTTTTTCAACATAACACTTTGCCTCTTCTGGATATGTTTCAAAAACCCAGAGAGGTTCAATCTTTCTCTTTAAAAGCCTTTCAAGCTACTTCTGTAGATTAAAAATATGGCCGCCTGAGCCATTACAGATGCTAGCTAATTCAAAATCAGAGGTTCTACAAAAGAGTTTGCCTACACTATACTCTATTTTTACTTTTTCAAGAAATCAATTCATTAGATTTCCTGATGTAGTACAGGAAACCATAAAATTGGATTTTTAACATGGAAGCAAATATCTAGGTTCTGTTTTGGAGCCCTGAGTCTCTCTCAAGAGTCACCCTGGTCCAAAAGTTCACTTAACTAATTCGCCAAGAGTCCATGGATATGGCACAGAAAAAGAGCCTGTGAAAAAATTCACCTAGGGCACTATTCAGTTGGAGTATTTTTTTTCTTTAATTATTTTCTAGTATCAGTCTTCTTTTTGGTTATACCTCTTCTTAAAAAAGGGAATCAATGTTTACTCATCATTGGTCCATTGACTACAGTGGGGGAAACACTCACTGTAAGAATAGAAAAATTCTCTTATTCGCAGGTACAGTCAGGTTCATGATTGTTCAAACAAACTCTTCAGTAAAGAAATGGGAGTTTTAGATATTTTGTTGGGAATCTTCAATAGAATTAAATCACAGCAATTAGCATGCAGTGTTCTAGTTTGAAAAGCACTGTCATATATTTTGTATATTGAATGCAAATCTCTGTGACATTATTGGTAACGCGGGAATATTACATATTTTGAAAACCATGGCAACAATCCCCTCACTGCAATAAATACAAACAAAAATTAAATTGAAAGACAAAACCCTGAGGCATGGGGACTGTTGACTAAATTCCCACCAAAAAAGTATTACATTAATGTTCTTTCACATGAACCTTTGTATTATATTATTCAGATTAAGGTTAAATATATATAAATGAAGTTATTCTATAGAGAGATATTTACATGGCTAGTGAGGAAGTGGAGAACTGGCAAATAGTCCATGGATATGGCACAGAAAAAGAGCCTGTAAAAATATTCAACTAGGGCACCATTTAGTTTGAGTATTTTTTTTTCTTTAATTATTTTCTAGTTAATCTTAAGTAAGTTATGCTTATGAGTTAAAGTTACACAGCAGATAAAATCAAAAATCTTTTTGGGCAAATGAACCAAAAAAAGTATTAGGCTCAACTCTATACATTTTTCATATATTCTACTATTATGACACAAAAATGGCAGTATATCATTTTCCAAGTGCATTATGTTATTGCTGTGTCAAAGCTTTAATTACAACCAATGCTGAATTAGTTTGGGTTCCCAAACCTAATCCCTACTGAGAGGGAAATTACTAATATGGAGCATATAATTCAAAGAGGAATAATTCTTATTTTGGGCAACTGAAGAGATATTATGAATATGTATTTGTATTATTAGGACGAAGGCAACTGTATATTTCTAAAGATAATAGATAATTTGGAAAAGAATGGTACAGATCAGTGGTTCTCAGGAGATCCACAGGGTCAGTTCAATTTTAGTACTAAGATGCTACTTGCAGCTTTTACTCTCACTTCTTGTGAATGTACGAGGAGTCTTCCAGAGGTTACATGGTGTGTGATATTACAGAAGACGGAACACCGAAACATTTATGAGACTCCAGCTATCTTCTATTAGGCCAGACATTAATGCAATTCACAAAAATGTAACTGATGCTAATCTTTCTGTTTCATATTGCTTTGGAAAATGTTTCTTTTTTCAAAAATATGTTACTCCTCTTAACACGTAATGGATTATTACATTGTTTAATGAATTAATAAATAGATTTTAAAGTTCCTCATTTTACTTTCAGTACAGTAAATATTAATAGTTATAACCCACAAAAACAAAAGCTCTTTGGGGTTCATAATAAATTTAGGAGTATAAGGCCAATATGATCAAAAGACTTCAGAACTGTTGGTAAAGAAACAATAAAATTCTTTTCAGTATTAATCCCCTTACTTTCATAAATACCAGTGATAAAGATCTTTATGGCCCTTGTAATATATGAGAAGTCATTTAAAATAGGTCTATATAAAAACCCGTAAAGTACTTTATTCATAACATAAAAAAATATATTGAGCTTCTTAGAAAATGCTCCATTTGCAAAATATATTTATAACTTAACAGAATAAATAATTCATACCTCACCAAGTGAGTAATAACGTCTTGGGATCTGGGAGTCCGGATAGATGTTTTCAAGGTACCAAGAAAATGGCTTACACTTCAGATTTTCTCTTAGTGTTTTTCTGACTGACACATCTCCATAATCCACTTTGACAACACCTGGAAGTTTTCAGAGAAACACACAAATCAGTTTGTGCTGTTTTGGTTTTAGCACTGTCTCACTCTGTTTACTTTGCTAACATTTTTTTCTCTATAATTATAATTTCATCAAATTCAATTGCATATGCAGCTGCTGCTACACTGATTCTCTTACTAACATCCAATTAGTACATTAAATAAATTTTAAAAAAGTTTTTCCTTTGGTTCTGACTTTTCCAATGCAAGTATTTATCACCAAGTACTTGTACTTCTTAGATAGAATAATTAATCAAATAAATATAAATTGGTATGAATTTAGCATCTCATAATCAAAGCTTAACTGAACTGTGTGATAATGTGGTTGTTTCTCTTTAATAAAAATTCCACTGCCTCTCCAAAGTTTCTGTTAGGGCACATATTTTCCCTGCAATGTCATTTATTTACTGTCTGTACATTTCATGGGATATAAATAATGTACATATGATTTTTACAGTGGAAGACATTTATGTGTTTAATCCTCCCATCTTCTTCTTTATTCTATCTAGGTTTACCGTAGACCTGGTTTTCTCCTGTTTGATTTTTCCCCCATTTTATGAGTTAGTGTAAACCATTTCAAATCCTTGAATAAATAAGTTACTAACTAAATAAGCCTAAATAAACTAACAGTGGAATAGACTCACATGTCTATATTAAAAGAGCTTAATTTTACTTCATATAATAGATTAAAATGAATTTAGTTGAATATTTCCATTGAAGATCATAAAAGAATGCTTTCTAGTTGGGAAATAAAAACAATAATGCCACTGATTTCTATATGAAAACTATGATGACCTGATTTGATCATTATTATCAATACTAAAAATGACATTTGATTGAAGTGACTGAACAACTGTGATAAAAGTGCAATTATTTCTTAAATTACATTGAAAGGGACCCTGTTTAACATGTTTCTTTAAGACCAGTAAGCAACCAGACTCTGGCACACAAAAAAATATCCCACTATTTAACATCTTCTATCCCAACCAAGCAGCAAAGTCAATCAATTATTCTGCAAAAGAAAGAACAATTGCTTAGACATTCTAAATGGCTATGACTAATGCCATTATTTGGGTCATTATATTCAAATGTGGCAACATTCTTGAAGTTAGTTCATCGCCTGCTAGCTCTCCCCTTGCCCCAACTCTCTCTTCGGAATTTTTGTTTGTTCCAAAATTAAGTGTCTTCATGTTGTTAGAAAGCATTCTGTTAATGCTTAAGCAGCCAAACCATTTCCTTCTAAAAGACAATACTGATTTTTCTAACTAGTGTTTGGACAGAAAACAAGATCTTTGGCTTTTTAACAGATAAATATTTGCTCTCAAGATAATTACAACCAGAACTTCCAATCTGGAGTGCACCCTTCAAAAAAAGAGGCTTGCAAACATTTACAAAATAGATCACTAAAAGAATTTCTCTTTGTGTTAAGTGACTCAGAAATTGAAATTGTCTAATAGTCTTGAAGATCATATAAAGTCTTGCCATTGAGCCAAGAAAAGAAAAAAAAATGCACTGTGAAGTCAAAGACTTAGTTCAACAGTCAGTTTTACTGCTCTGGTTTCATTTTTGAGGTAGGAAAATTTAATTGAAATGGTTAATGTATATATCGGTACCCTTCTAAGATAATAGATAATTTGGAAAAGAATGGTACAGATCAGTGGTTCTCAGGAGATCCACAGGGTCAGTTCAATTTTAGTACTAAGATGCTACTTGCAGCTTTTACTCTCACTTCTTGTGAATGTACGAGGAGTCTTCCAGAGGTTACACGGTGTGTGATATTACAGAAGACGGAACACCGAAACATTTATGAGACTCCAGCTATCTTCTATTAGGCCAGACATTAATGCAATTCACAAAAATGTAACTGATGCTAATCTTTCTGTTTCATATTGCTTTGGAAAATGTTTCTTTTTTCAAAAATATGTTACTCCTTTTAACACGTAATGGATTATTACATTGTTTTAATGAATTAATAAATAGATTTTAAAGTTCCTCATTTTACTTTCAATACAGTAAATATTAATAGTTATAACCCACAAAAACAAAAGCTCTTTGGGGTTCATAATAAATTTAGGAGTATAAGGCCAATATGATCAAAAGACTTCAGAACTGTTGGTAAAGAAACAATAAAATTCTTTTCAGTATTAATCCCCTTACTTTCATAAATACCAGTGATAAAGATCTTTATGGCCCTTGTAATATATGAGAAGTCATTTAAAATAGGTCTATATAAAAACCCGTAAAGTACTTTATTAATAACATAAAAAAATATATTGAGCTTCTTAGAAAATGCTCCATTTGCAAAATATATTTATAACTTAACAGAATAAATAATTCATACCTCACCAAGTGAGTAATAACGTCTTGGGATCTGGGAGTCCGGATAGATGTTTTCAAGGTACCAAGAAAATGGCTTACACTTCAGATTTTCTCTTAGTGTTTTTCTGACTGACACATCTCCATAATCCACTTTGACAACACCTGGAAGTTTTCAGAGAAACACACAAATCAGTTTGTGCTGTTTTGGTTTTAGCACTGTCTCACTCTGTTTACTTTGCTAACATTTTTTTCTCTATAATTATAATTTCATCAAATTCAATTGCATATGCAGCTGCTGCTACACTGATTCTCTTACTAACATCCAATTAGTACATTAAATAAATTTTAAAAAAGTTTTTCCTTTGGTTATGACTTTTCCAATGCAAGTATTTATCACCAAGTACTTGTACTTCTTAGATAGAATAATTAATCAAATAAATATAAATTGGTATGAATTTAGCATCTCATAATCAAAGCTTAACTGAACTGTGTGATAATGTGGTTGTTTCTCTTTAATAAAAATTCCACTGCCTCTCCAAAGTTTCTGTTAGGGCACATATTTTCCCTGCAATGTCATTTATTTACTGTCTGTACATTTCATGGGATATAAATAATGTACATATGATTTTTACAGTGGAAGACATTTATGTGTTTAATCCTCCCATCTTCTTCTTTATTCTATCTAGGTTTACCGTAGACCTGGTTTTCTCCTGTTTGATTTTTCCCCCATTTTATGAGTTAGTGTAAACCATCTCAAATCCTTGAATAAATAAGTTACTAACTAAATAAGCCTAAATAAACTAACAGTGGAATAGACTCACATGTCTATATTAAAAGAGCTTAATTTTACTTCATATAATAGATTAAAATGAATTCAGTTGAATATTTCCATTGAAGATCATAAAAGAATGCTTTCTAGTTGGGAAATAAAAACAATAATGCCACTGATTTCTATATGAAAACTATGATGACCTGATTTGATCATTATTATCAATACTAAAAATGACATTTGATTGAAGTGACTGAACAACTGTGATAAAAGTGCAATTATTTCTTAAATTACATTGAAAGGGACCCTGTTTAACATGTTTCTTTAAGACCAGTAAGCAACCAGACTCTGGCACACAAAAAAATATCCCACTATTTAACATCTTCTATCCCAACCAAGCAGCAAAGTCAATCAATTATTCTGCAAAAGAAAGAACAATTGCTTAGACATTCTAAATGGCTATGACTAATGCCATTATTTGGGTCATTATATTCAAATGTGGCAACATTCTTGAAGTTAGTTCATCGCCTGCTAGCTCTCTCCTTGCCCCAACTCTCTCTTCGGAATTTTTGTTTGTTCCAAAATTAAGTGTCTTCATGTTGTTAGAAAGCATTCTGTTAATGCTTAAGCAGCCAAACCATTTCCTTCTAAAAGACAATACTGATTTTTCTAACTAGCGTTTGGACAGAAAACAAGATCTTTGGCTTTTTAACAGATAAATATTTGCTCTCAAGATAATTACAACCAGAACTTCCAATCTGGAGTGCACCCTTCAAAAAAAGAGGCTTGCAAACATTTACAAAATAGATCACTAAAAGAATTTCTCTTTGTGTTAAGTGACTCAGAAATTGAAATTGTCTAATAGTCTTGAAGATCATATAAAGTCTTGCCATTGAGCCAAGAAAAGAAAAAAAAATGCACTGTGAAGTCAAAGACTTAGTTCAACAGTCAGTTTTACTGCTCTGGTTTCATTTTTGAGGTAGGAAAATTTAATTGAAATGGTTAATGTATATATCGGTACCCTTCCTTCTTTGTCTTCTTAAGATTTAGTAGTCCTGGCTTCAGAATTTTATGCTAGGAGGCTGTTACGGATAGTTTCCTGATTGGAAGGAAATTGGGAGATTCATTTGCCTAGTTTTACATTAGATAAGAGAAAATGTTAATTGCCCACAACAGATTTGTCAAAAGGTGTTGATGGAGAATGACAGAAATTACGGAGGAAAGCTCACTTTCTTACCTTACCACCTATAAGCCACAGCTAGTCACTGACACTACAGCTTGGGTTGTTGTCCTAGTCCTAGATAATTACTTTATATAACCATTAGAATTGCACAAAATACTGTGGGCTTAGCTTAATATTTCAGTGAGGATGGCTTTTTCCCCTTTGTGTCTATAATTTCCTACTTATAAGTAAGATACTATATAAAAGACAGCACTGCTCACCAAACATTCATATATTCCTCCACCACTTCCCAGGTCCCACCAGTTAAGCAAGGACATCTGACTGGCCCGGCCAATGAACTGTGGGGAAAGGGACATATGTCACTTCTGGTCTTAAAAATAGAACAGGTGTGACACCCTCCAGCTCTCTTTTCCTCTGTTACAGGGACTGAAGAGGTCTTGTACCCCAGTGGGTGCAGCTACAGGACAGTGAGGCCTTTGTTAGCCTGTGTCATGACTGTGGAGTAAAGCCTGTGAAGTAGAGACTGTGAAGAATACCATGGCTTGAAATACCATCTCACTTGTTTCTCAAACTTTTATTTCTAATCTAAACCTCTCCAAAGTCATTTATCCAATTGTTTACCCAACAGTTTTACTGGGATCTCTAATAGATATCTCAAATTTGACATGTCCAGAACAGTTCTCTTGTTCTTTCCTACTTGATTTCTCTGCAAAATTCTCCATTTCAGTAAGTAGCACAAATATCCACCATTTTCCAGGGAAAAAACATACAGTAATTCTTTGCAATTCCTGCTGGGTCCACATGCACACTATATCCCCAGCTCCAATACCATGCCCACCACAATCTTGGCCCCACACTCTTTCATATTTTGCGTAAACTAGCAATGCAATCACCTCCTAACTATTCCCCTGACATCTTCCATTTCTCCAACTACCTTTATTTACTATTGTCTACTCTCTAGACGATATATTTGAAATATAAATAAAATCACATTTCTCCCCTTCTCCGAAGATCCAAGGATTTTCTATTGTTCTAAAAATAATGAACAATATCCTAACCATTGCCTAAGATCCTTCTTGAAATAACTTAGCTGTCTCCCTGAACTAATAATCATCTCTATTCATTTCATTGTAGCCACATTGGCTTCTGTTGTTCTTTTCTTTGCTTCTCTTCAATCATACCAAGTTCATTTCCAATTGACATCTTTGTACTGGTTTTTTTTCCTGTCTGGAATGGTATTACCCTGGAACTTCCATGAGTTGTCCTGAACTTCATCCAAATGTCTGCTTAAACTTAATTTTATCACATTCACTCTGACCTTCCTATTTAAATTGATCCCCCCCATTGCTAGAGTAGGCAATTAGTTAGACAAATGCAGGGGAAAGGGTCCAGCACATCACCAAAAAGGTTCACCCCAACCAACCCCAAACCCTCCTTAGTTCCCAGTTCCACAGGCAAGACACATAGTTTATCAGGAGATCTAGACAGTCAAGGACACCTGCACTGTCAAGCGGCCCAAGACCACAGGGCTTTCCCTGATTATGAGGCATGGGAAAGGCCCAAAGTCCTGTCCAAACGTCACCCCACCTCATTAAAATAACATCTAAAACTAATTAGCATTGTGGTTTTGGCCCTTTGTGGGTAAGCTGCCTGTGCACCGAGTAAAAGGTTATACAACCTAGAGCCCTCAATCAACCTGTCAATCAAATGATGGAAGATGCTGGGCAGGACTTTCTGCCATCTTAAGAAAAAAATAAAAACCAACCAAACCCTAATAAGTGGGCTGCTTCTGGTTTCCAGACAGCCTGCTTTTCTGTCTCAAGAGTGTACTTTTCAGTTTAACTCCATAAATTCCTCACTGCTTTTCTTTGCTGTCTGGTCTCTCAACTGAATTCTTTCCTTCAAGAAGTCAAAAATGAGAGAAACAACCGGGAACACCATCATCCTGGGTCATGTTCTATCCCTCTATTCTGATGAATTGTTCTCCATATTATTGCTTGATATATATATTATAAATTTATTCTGTTATTTTTTTCTAGGCACCTGGGCACTTTTGTTCATTAATGAACAAAATAAATCAAAGTATTTCCTCTTTGGAGTGTACTTTCTGAGGGAAGAAGACATAAACAATAATACATTGAAATTAATCCATTCTGTGACAATAACAGACTGGGATCAACAAGGAAGGTTGCAATAGAAGGAATATTAATGCATTATTTTTTCAAAGGCAACTTAAAATTGAGCTCCAAGTTTTTAAAGTAGCTCTTTCAGTGGGATTTGCACAAACCATGGGAAAGCTTTGACAATTAGATAAAGTTTCATGATGAGTTAGAAAAAGAAACTATTTTAATTAAGTCCAGGTTTGCAGGTTTGATTAACAGTTAAATTATAACTGCTTTATTTATTTTATATAACACTTTTGGATTGCTATGCTTTTATAACCTGTCCTTTATTAGTCATTTGTAAATCTACTTCATGGTGGTATTAAATTTAGATATGTAGATCAATCATGTTTTCAATTTTTAAATAGACAGTAGATGGAAAATCATAGTCATCTCAGTTAAGTTCTTCCCTCTTGGATGCCTACTAAGCCTAATAGTTCTGGTTCCCTATAATCGACATACTTGACAGAATAGTCTGATTATAGGCTAAGTCTGAATTTTATGCATAAGAATATGTATTGCAGCTTACCTTTAAGTGGACAAAAAGGGAAATGATTTCCTTCAATAGGAAATACTTAAGTAAATCAATGATATATCTAATTGACAAAATATAATTCATATATTGAAACTGTTATGTCTCTATAAGAATATGGAAACATGTTAATAAATTTTTTTAATTGTACTGTTATTGTAACTAAATAAAATGAAAATGTATGGAACAAAAAAATGAGAAAAATAACAACACATTACTTTTTCTACTAAAAAAATGGGAGAGGAAATAAATCTAAAAAATCTCATATTTTTTTCTTAAGCACAACAATTAAAATTATGAAGGATTTTAATCAAAAGGATGAATTAAAGGATTTTATATACAATGATACATTAACAATACACTTGCATATTATAGTAAACCAGTATACATGGTTTCAGCTCAGAAGTTTTATATTTTCAAAATTCCCTATAATAGCAAATAATCTTTATTTTGTAATGTATTTTGAAAATTTGTCATCAGGAATAAGATCCTTATGAATAAGGATTTGCATTTCTT